ATATATATCCTTCTGCTTCAGTTTCCACAGATGAAGGCTTCTATTTGGTTTAGAAACTGAGCTCCATGGGATTATGTTTATGTTATACCATGTCAGAATGCATCATGGAAATAGATTTATGGTAAACAGAAATTGACACCGCAGAAGTTTTGTGTAGAACAAAACAACCACACCCATATAGAACAGTCTCAAATGGACACTTCTACAGAATCCAAACAAAAGTTACTGAAGGAAAATGAAATAAAGGTAAAGCACTGAGTCCGGAGATGTGAGGTGTAGAAAATATAAGAGATAAAATCCCACAGGAATAAAAAACCCCCTGGGCGACATGCAGAAACAGGCATCAAATCTTAGTCAGCAATTCAGAATAATATGAAAGGTCATCATAGTTTGACATTACAAATGATAAAGTAATAAATAAAAAAACATTTAATCTGCAATACATGACAATGTCAATTTTTATGGCTCCTGTGTTAGCAAATTATAAAATAGAAAAGAAAACTCAGAAAATATAAACTTGAGTAGTTAAATAGGTTTACTTACTTGGATATCTGAAGTAGAAGTCATTCTCTATGTCACTTGATTTATTCTCTGTTTTTTTGTGCTCAACCCAGTGTGTGTCTGATTCTTTGTCATATCGAATAAAAATCCCAAACAGAATGATCATGGCCGTCTGCCACACCATACACACTGCTGGCAGACTCAAGCGAACATTAGTATTCTTCGTGCGGTCACACATATCCCTGAAGCTCTGGGCAGCCCCCATGTTGGCTGCTTTTCTGTTGCAAGTTTTCCAGGTGCCAGAGATCCAGAAAGCTTAAATGTCTCAGCTGAGCTGCTGTCTGAAAAGCCCAGAGCATCTTCAAGAGGTATCCAATCTGAGGACACACCCACAGTCACTCCTCCCTAACTCTAACTCTTTTCTGGGACATTTTTCTTTACTGGGACATTTTTCTTTACTTGTGATATTGATTGCACAGACATGGTTTTATCATCAACAGTGATGAAGCCTCAACATTTTTTTTAAGACGTTTTGTTATAAGAAAGATGGTTCATGGTTCGATATAAATGGCAAAGCCCATACTTTACTCTCAACATATGAAGTCATGTGATCAACTACATCTTACCTCCTCCCTTAATACAAACAATGATTGCATGTCAGGAAAGGTACAAAGTCATTTCTTTGTTAACAGCTGTTCACGCTTCCTGCACATATTATTTTTTTTATTTACCTTTCAGACAAAGAAAAAAGAAATCTCCATTGTGAACATGCTGTCCTGTAAAGCAGGTGTGTCAAACTCATTTTCGTTTTGGGCCAGATCAAGATCATAAAGGCTCTTACCAGTTCTATTGATGCCATTTTTTAAAAAAAATCATAACAATCATTATGAGAAATCTATCCTCTCCTTCCAATCTTCGCTCTCAATGGAACAAAAATGTCCTCACGAACTGTCCATACTAAAACTTTTGTACATTTGATAAGACGAGAATGTGTTGATAAGACATGTTCACAAACTGTTAATGTCAATGAATTCTTAAAAGAAATAATATTATTGAAGATCTTTTCAGTCCCTACATGAACTAATAATAAATGCGACTGTTTATTTACTTGCTGTATAAATCATGGACTATAATCATACATCAACTAAATTCTCAAGAAACTGGAGGGATTGATTGATATAAATTGGCAGTAAACAAATAAAAACTGCATTGATATGATTGATAATATTTAATCACACTTAGTGTTTAGTCTACACTGTAGAGGGCCACATAAAAAGCTACGGTGGGCTGGATTTGGCCCCCGGGCCTTGAGTTTGACACATGCTGTAAAGCCTAAACAGTGAATTATAATTTTCTGTGTTAACTGGAGAGTCGTTATGTTTAGCTGAAAAAAGAAACAGTAAATTGTAGGTTGGCGATTGAGACTTTTTTCTGCACCTTAAGAAAAGAAAAATGTAAAGTAAATTAAAAAGAGCAACTTTAATCCAATATAACCATGACCAGGCAATGCTTGCCATTGCAGACTAGTGGTTGAGGAAAACATTTTGGGACACAAAGCACCAATCAAACTTTGACACCTTTTGCTTTTAGCATGTTGACTAAGTCTCCAAATTTTGTTTAACTAGTGTACAAAACAGAAATACAGTGTACTGTTTGTGCTACAAATAAAGGGACAGGATGAAGTACAATGGGTGGTGTCACCTTTTCAGTTAGAAAACAAATTTTGTTCTAAATTTTGATTGACGACTACAACTAAACATAGATCAATATTTAAAAGGTTTGTCCTAATTTTTTCACATGCACAATGGCGCATTATGCACAATGTGTATAATGTGCATTTCGATGATATGCTGTTTTCTTTCAGATGTAACAGATCATCTTCTGACACAGCAGGATGAGTTGCCAGAGGTATTAGTGTAGCTGTTTGTTCTGCAGTGTCTCTCCCAGGCTACATTCAGTTTTCTTGGTGACCTGCTGGTTTACAAGAAGTTGTAAATAATACATACTGTTTACAATACTGTTATTGTAGAGAATCTGATTTATTGAAGAATGTCTGTGTACCAGAGAAAAGTTTAGAGCCCATAAAGTTTAGCATGAAAAAATAAAACTGAAAAATCTTTACATTAATAAAAATAATAATAATACTTGACTCTTTTTTTTTTTAGGTATTTTTCTTACAATTTACAGTTTTAATTTGCTATCTAATCAAAATCTGTGTGCATCTGGCTTAATTTCAAACAAGGCATCAGATCAATCAATCGATCAGCTGAAAAATGAATCAGATGAAAAATAAAACAACTATATAACAAAAAGAAACAGAAAAACAAACTTGAACATCCGTCAATCACTTGTTAGTCAATGATCCATCATTTTTGAGAAACATGGCTTCTGTATATGCTAAAAGTCATAAGGCATTGTCTGTCAGCTGTGCTATTTATATTGTTTTACACAACTATGAGACATAACACTGTTCACCTCTTCACCTTTATGTCCTACAAGCAGGTCACAGGTACTCATGACCTGCCAAAGTGGCCTGAAGCTGTTCTTTCATCAACTGGTAACCAGCAATATTACAAAGAACGTATAATGTAGGTTTTCTCTGAATTATTAGGTGTCATGTTGATCCAGACATCAACATGATACATGTTGATGTCTGGATGTTTTTGTAATTTCTCAAAGTGGATATATAGTACTGTAAATGAAAGGGCATGGATGTTTACCCGTAGGCTACAATGTACACCAGGTGTTATATCAGAAAAATCAAACAAGCGGGACTTTGAAAAGAACCACAGGTATACAAAACATCACAAGTTTGTTGTTTTTCCAATGAAACTGCAATGGTTACAAAAAATTTCCGGAGCTGCTGATGAGAACTAATGAGAAGAAAAGACAAAGCAATGTTAAACAACCCGCTTACAGTAAATAAAGTCATTACCTAGTGACTTTTATGGAAGAATTCAAAATGTGATACGGTCAACTCTTTTAAATGGTGCCATAACAAATCTGGGAAGTAAATTTTTATTTTTGTTGAAAAATCAGAGTACCTTACGATATCCGGCTTATTCTTATTGAACAAAGCATGTTTAAATGGGTAGTCTAAAGTAAATTCTTGGGGGATCAGATATGAAGCATAAGGATTATAGTGTTTGACTTAAAAAAAAAAAAAAAGAAAGAGTAACCGCAGAGTGGTGTGGTCATTAAAAAAATGTAAGTCCCAAATGCAGAGAAACAGCTGGCCTCTCTTATTCATCTAGGTACTAAGAATTTCAAGGCTGATATATATATTTTTTGTATTAAAGAAAAAAGATTTAAATAGAGAGAAAAATACACTGCTGCTTCAATAGATAAAGACCATATTGAGAGCTTCCTGGCCCTCATCAAAGTCAGCAGCTATATGCTTAATGATCCAAGAAAGTCATGTTGCTGCCTAGGTGAGGTCATTCTGGCGGATAATGTGTTTACCTGGTGATAAGGTAGGTGTTCACGAGTAACAAGAATCTCTTCAAAAATGGGATCCATAGGAGTTAGAAGCCAGAGTCTCCAGCAGACCAACAAGAACAGAAAGGCAAGGCATCTTACATTTGCCAAAAAACATCTAGATGATAGTTTATGAAAATATTTTGAGGGCCGTTGAGACAAACGCGTGACCTTTTAAAAGGTGTGGGTTAGGTCGCAACTGGAAAAAAAAAAAAAACAGCATCTCAGAAAAAAATAGACTGACAACCACACCTCATGATAGCGTGGGGCTGATCTGATGGCTATTAGAAAGTCCTGAAGGAGTTTTTATTTTTTGTCAATACCAACACACTTGCCTGTTTATACTGTACATTCACGAGCAATTAAACATCCAGGCTTCTATTTGTTCAACTGAGTCATTTGTTCCAGTCTCATATGACTTTTGCCTGGAGAAAATGTTAAGAACACTACATGTACTTCATGTCCTCTTGAAGAAATGGAGACATATCCTAACACTTATTAAAACACTCTTAGTAGAACTATGAGGTTTCTAAGTCAGGATAAAGACCTCATATACAACCAGCTTCCTTAAGCTTTTACTTAATGGGATAAAATCAGTCTGTAAACTGAATGTGAATGCTCATTGTTTTCAACATCAATATGCTGTTGAAAACACCAAATTTTTTCTATATTATTTTATCAAAATATATTATTTCTAATATCTTCAAAATTAGAAATAATTCCAACATATTTTTAGAATGATTTTTTTTTGGGGGGGGGTTTATTACTTCTATTTCTTTTTAATTGGTCATGAACAACTTTACTATTGATTTACTGTTTATGAGACAGAGCTCCTAAATATTTTTCTATTTGAATTTTCAGACTTAAATATCTTGATTTTTTTTTCACTTTATTTATTTACAGAGCACTTTATTGGGGGTGGAGGACCCTTTTGTGTCTGTTGTTTATTGTATTAGAAGTGATACATTTAAAAATGTGGGTTCATTAAAAAAAAATATTAATATTGTTGAGCTTTATGGTCGTTTTTTTTTTTTTTTTTCTTATTTTTGCCTCTTGACTAACCTACATAAGTCCAGTTTCAAAAGCTGTAACACTTAAGAGTTATCAAATGAAGACTATATTATTGTATATCAAATAAAATTTTATTTACACACAAGTTTCCAACACTGATCTAAGGGGGTCCTGGTACCCTCTTAGGTTAAATCTGACATTTAAATGAAAGTGCATTTATTAGTAGACTTCAGTCAGTAACCCAAAAGCAAAAGCATTAGCAACTCATTAACTGATTCTGACGTTTTATGCACTGCGCTGAATCTTTAAGTCTTTCAAAATGTATTCCAGACATTAATGAGTCAGTAGGTGTTTAACAAGCTGTTCTTCCAGCTTGTGAAACTCATCATCAGGCAGAAGATACTTCTGAACTATACTGATGACCTCTCTCTCAGTTGTACACTCAAAGTCCTTTTTATTTTTAAAGGGTAAATGCCCTGCTAACTCGCAGAGTGCAACATTAAAGGCAGATTCCTCTTTGGCACCGAAGCAGGATGTTCTGGGCCAAATAGCTATACGTACACCTTTTCTTAAACAGCTCTCCTTCGCAGTCTGCATTTGACCACTTGGTGGGCATCCTCTGGTCAGGAACAGATTATGAGCGATGTTTTCAGCCAGAAAAAAGTCTGTCACTTTACAGACCGTTCTTGCTGCCGTCTCCACTTCTTCGGATTCTGTATAGAGCAAAAATCCAACCGGAAAATCTTGGATGCGAAAAAAGTTCTTCTCAGGTATCAAAGGCTTAACCAGGCTGGATTCAATCTTCAGCTCATAGTCCAGGTAATATCCATGAAGGTGTAAGTGATTAACAGAGGCAAATGCTCCAAGGCTGTTGAACCCCACACGGAAACCTGGGCTGGAGCTGAGGAGCACAGACTCGATACCGACCTGGACAGCAGCTCTCGTCAGGATCTGTGGTAAACAGAGAGACGGATCTGGAACAAGAAGACAGTGTCCAAACTCCAAAGGGCTAACATTGATCAACACAACCATCCTGCAAGTTTGAGGCAACTGGTCATCAGGTACATCTCTCCCTCCACCTGTGTCCTTCATCTCAAACATAATTTCTTCTGCATTTATTTTGTTGAAGTTAAACTGACTGGGGTTAAACTCTTGCTGAATGCTCAGTATCTCCTGGGGCTTCCTCCTCTCGATTCCACGTTGGACATTGAGCTGAGCGACGTAACCATTTGACCCTGGTAGGATACGCGTTTTTAAATCCCCTAGATGGTACCGGAAGAGTCCTCTGTCCATCCTGTCTGTCCAACCATCTCTGATGAGCGAGTCGAGCTTGGAAGGTGGTGGACGGTTTTCTCTTTTCTGAAGCACATCTGTGACAAAATCCTGAGTGCTGTACACAAACTGAGGCAACATGGTTGGACCTGTTAGTGAGCAGAACAAATGAAATACACGATATTCAAGTGGTCGGTAGTTTCTGTTATCTTAATACTAATATTTTACATTCTGTTAAGTCAGTACGATCTCGTACTGTATGTGAAACTGTTGGATTTTTGAGCTAAACAAGCTGTTTTAAACTCGTCTGTTTCATTGACTGAAACAAAACAAAGTTTTACCTCTTTTTTGTTACCTTACCTTTGTGTACGCACACAAAGAGACTGCTTCATGGATACATGAACAGATGTAAAGCACTTCAAAATTCAGAACTGTCTCCTATTCCAATTAAATTAAGCACATCTGATGCGGTGAGTGTAACCAGGAAGCTGACCCAGCTACGCCTTACGCTTTCCATTTCCGATGTTCACTTCCTGTCTTCAGAATAAAAGCTCACTGAAAGAACATGTACTATGATTTGATTATATTTTTCAAGTCAGTGTTATATGATATCTATGTTATCAGTAATAATTAGATTTACAGAAGAGAAAATGGTATAGAACTTAAACTCCTGAAACATTTTTGTTTTATTTCCAGTCAATAGATTCTTTGCGTTTAGTGCAGATTAGCTGTTTTTGTGGATGATTTGTAGACAAAATAACAGTCCTGCCAGAATTAAAGCAATATTTCTTTAAAGCATTTGAGACAAGCATATTTCTATTTGAATGCATTAAAAATAATTTTGGACTATTTTATCAGTATGTATATTTGTTTGTCTGACTTCATGAAATAACTTATACGAAGCCAAAATTCCACAAGGATCTATGTTTAAGCTATACTGTTTAGATTTTAAGTAATCTTCTATTTATATGTGGAAATTATCTATTAACTCCTGCTATCATGAGTCCATCCATAACAATGAAAACTTTTTGTTTTATTTATTTGTTTATCATCTTATATTATTAATTACTTGAAATATATTTCAACAGCATTGATGTTTTAATATTTTGTTTTAGGGTGACTCTATTAAACAAGAGAACCTCAATATTCAACTGCTATTTTAGAGTTGATTTAAATACTGTGGGGTTAACTAAGTCAAAAAGAATGAGCAGCTGCCCAGTCAGTCTCCAGGCTTATTTTAGTAACTGCATGCTTCCAAAGATAAAGCAGGCAGTGACTGGCAGAGCTGTGTGTCTGCTTAAGAGATTTGGGGTTCAGAACACTTCATGTCACTTGACTAGGTTTCAGAACCCGAAGGATCTACATTCACATTTTATTCCAAATTCGAGGAGGTGAGAGGATGGAAAGAAGTAAAAATAATGTAAGTTCGGCTGTGTTTAATTTTTTTTTAATGTTACAAAGTAAATTGTAATAAAGCATGAACAACAATTTTGTTGGGGAGCTTTTTACTTTCTAGGTATTTTTAAATGTTTGATGTTTAAAGAGAGTTTTAGAGTTAGGAAAATAAAATGTAATTTCATCTGTTTTTTGACACATACGATTTAGAAGAGTTTTAGTTGAAAATGCATGTTTAAACATGTAATATGGGTATGAAGCCATTTTCCATTTAAATTACTTGTTTAAAGATTGAAAAACAAAACAATGCAATGTGGGTTTGCTCATACTTTAACACTTCTCTGACACATTTTGAATGTTGCTTCTTGTAGATGTCAAATGAAGCTGAAGAAATGCCTCAGACTCTAAATATAAAAATGACTGAGGATTCAGATCCAGAGGTTTCGTCATCCACCTCGGTCACTGCCCAAGGTAGAGCACTTCCATCTTGATGATTTTCAGTCTGGAAAGCTGTATTTTAAATGAACATTGAATCAGACATGTTATCACATTAACAAAATATTATTTAAATATTTTGTAATTTTTAAATAATATTTATTTAAATTTACTTACTAAATTTTATGCGTTCCTTTTTTTAAATAAAATATGCCAATTACTGCCAGAGTAGAAGCAGAGTGAAATGGCACTTGAAAAGTTCAGTGTAACCTTTCTCCAAGCATTTATTTCATAAATACAAGATGATCAAAATCTAATTCAAATCATAATTGAATTTTTTTGGAAAAGGCTCTTTTTAAAAATACTTAGAATATACCATACGGTGGATTTTCAAAGGCATACATACCTTTTGCCAGGGTTTGTAATATAAATATTGTACATGAAATTGTGAGAAAATATTTCAAAACCTATTCCACCCTTAATTTGTCCTTAATGTTCAAAACATTTCAAATCTGCTAGAGAGGTAACATGTACAAAAATACAAAAGCTCCAAATTCACAACACCCTACAGCCTCAATCAAATACTGTTTTATATGCTTTTCATCCAACTTTAACATTTTGTCTAGTTGAGTTTTGTCATCCTTCAAAGTGAATCACAGCATTTTATCTTGCATCAACTACTTTTGAAAGCCACCATATGCCTTTACTACTCTGTGGTTTCCCAGCCTGTCTTTTACAACTGGCGGACAAAAAAATTGTTAGTACATTTATTAATAATTCACTTAGCAGGTTTTAATTATAAATTTTTATTAATAAACGGTTTTTATTTGCACATTCCAGGTCAACAATCATCTTCTGCAGAGAGTGAACAAAACAGGACAAGTGCTTCTGCAAAAAACAAGGAAAATGCCATCAGGCCAAAACTCCAATTAACATTTAACACATTCACAGTCAAAAGTGGTGAAGATCTAAAAGTAGAGATCGTTGTGGTTGGAGACCCTGCACCAAAGATTGAATGGAAAAAAGAAAGTCAGGCAGTCAAGGAGACATCAAGGCTAGAGATTTTAAATAAAGCCTCTTTAACTGTCCTTCACATCAGACATGGTGTCAGAGAGCAATCTGGTCAGTACTCTGTCACAGCAAGCAACTCTGCCGGGACAGACACAACAACCCTCACGGTGGTTGTTCTTGAAAAGCCAGACCCACCCAAAGGGCCCGTGCGGATTGATGAGGTTAATTCTGACTATGTTATTATGTCCTGGGATCCACCGTCATATACAGGAGGATGTCAGTTGGAGAACTATGTCGTGGAGAAACGGGAAACAACAAGCACGGAGTGGCATACTGTGTCTGCAACAACAGTTAGAACCACCATCAAAGTTACCAAGCTGAAGACAGGAAATGAATACCAATTCAGGATATCTGCAGAAAATAGGTATGGAAAAAGTGCTGCAATCACATCTCCAGTTGTGACAGCAAAATATCCTTTCAGTGTACCTGCTTGTCCTGGCACTCCCTTAATATCCACTGTGACAAAGTATAGCATGGTGGTTGAGTGGGAGCCACCTCTCAGAGATGGAGGCAGCCCCATCATTGGCTATCACATTGAACGTAAAGAGAAGAACAGTATTTTGTGGACCAAGCTGAACAAATTTGTTATACCTGACAGTCGCTTCAAAGCAAGTGGGTTGGAAGAAGGCATTGAATATGAATTCAGAGTCTTTGCTGAAAACATTGCAGGACTGAGCCCATGCAGTAATACATCAGAGTGTTGTGTGGCAAGAGATCCCTGTGATTCACCTGGGAAACCTGAAGCAGTTGTGGTGACCAGGGACAGCATCACACTTCAGTGGGCAAAACCTAAATATGACGGAGGAAGTACCATCACAGGATATGTTGTAGAAAAAAAGGAGCTCCCAGATGGCAGATGGATGAAGGCGAACTTTACCAATGTTACTGACAATCTTTTCACAGTTTCAGGACTGACAGGAGGGCAAAACTATGAGTTTAGGGTAACTGCTAAAAACAGTGCGGGTGTTTGGAGTGTACCCTCAGAAAGCATAACCATTCTTGCTCAGGATGTTATTGAAGCACCCACTGCATTCATTGATCCTAAGTTTAAGAGTACTATTATCATCCAAGCTGGAGAAACTTTTGTTATTGAAGCTGATTACTTTGGGAAGCCTCTCCCAGAAGTTGCATGGCTGAAAGATGGAAAAGAAATTGAGAAAGGTACACCTAAAATAGAAGTCAAAAACACAATCACTCACACAACTCTCACTGCCAGAAACAGTACACGTGTGGATGGAGGACGCTATGTATTGAGTCTTAGTAACAGTGGTGGAACTACAACCATTTCGGTAAATGTGAAGGTCTTAGATAGACCTGGTCCTCCTGATGGGCCACTGAAGGTGAAGGTTATAAGTGCAGAGAAATGCAACCTTAACTGGAACCCCCCTTTAAATGATGGAGGTGCCAGCATCACTCATTACATCATTGAAAAAAGGGAAACCAGTCGTGTTACATGGACTGAGGTTGAACCTCACATTGAAGCTATAAGTTACAAAGTGACAAAACTGGTATGCGGCAAAGAATACATTTTCAGAATTGCTGCTGTAAATAAATATGGGGTTGGTGATTTTTTAGAATCTGAGCCTTTTGTTTCACAAAATCCTTTCAAGCCACCTAGTGCTCCCTCCACTCCTGTAGCCAGTGCTGTGACTGGAGACTCAGTCGTGCTAACATGGGAAAGGCCTGAGAGCGATGGAGGCTCTGAGATTGATGGCTACATCCTTGAGAAGCGTGACAAAGATGGCGTGCGATGGACTAAATGCAACAAGAGAAGATTAAATGACGTGCGGTTTAGATGTACTGGGCTTGCAGAGGGACATTCCTATCAATTTAGAGTTCTGGCAGAAAATGCTGCTGGTGTGGGTGCACCCAGTGAGTCTAGTGAATACATAAAGATATGTGAAGCTACATACCCACCTGGCCCACCTTCCAACCCAAAAGTAACAGACTATTCCAGCAGTACAGTGTCTCTCATCTGGTCGAAACCAATTTACGATGGTGGAGACACAATCAATGGATATATTGTGGAATTGAAGGAAGCCACAGCAGATGAATGGATTGCATGCACACCAAGCACAGGAATAGAGGACACAAAATACACTGTAAAACGATTAAAAGAAAACACAGAGTACAATTTTCGTATATGTGCAACAAATTCAGCCGGTGTCGGAGAACATGTGGATCTACTTGGTTCTGTAGTAACAACTGAAAAAGTAGAAGCACCAGAGATTGAACTGGACAATGCTCTGAGAAAAATTGTAAATGTTCGAGCCTGCTCCACCTTACGTCTCTTTGTTACCTTAAGAGGACAACCAGAGCCTGAAGTTAGGTGGACAAAAGAAGATGGCACTTTAGATGAACGTGCTCAAATTGAAGTAACAAACTCCTACACTGTGTTAATGATAGAAAATGTCACAAGAAATGACAGTGGAAAATATGTGTTGACTGCTGAAAACTACAGCGGTTCCAAATCAGCATTCATCAATGTGAAAGTACTGGATTCTCCCAGTGCTCCAACAAATTTAGAAGTAAAAGATGTAAAGAGAGACTCTGTCTCCATCTCCTGGGAGCCACCTCTTATTGATGGAGGAACAAAGATTTC